TGCACAAGTAGCTCTTGAAGGGAATTCTTGGATGGAGTTCAATATGTACATGTATATGTATCTTATGCATTGCATTATGGTGTTAACAAAATTTTTACAATTTCTTATTATGTCTACATGATGAAGGTTTTACTTAGTATGCATGTTGTTTGCTAAACTTTTCATGTTAATGTATGACATAAGTGGCAACACTTGTGATCTCCTTGATTTGGTTTCCTTAGTATGTGGAAGGTTACGAGGCTTCACATGTACATTGTATTAGTAGGATTGGATTGGGATTTTGAGTAAGATATTATGGTGATGTCTTGATTAAATGAACTCTATATATGCAATGTTTCTGATTACTTCATTATGATGATATTGTTAGTATTGACTAGCATGTTGTTTTGATAAGTGCATGGAGACTAAATGGGTTCTGACTATGATTTCATAAATGAATGAGTTCTTATATGAGGTCTATGATGTGTGTTGGTCTTATGTCTAAGGTTAAATGCATGTGTTATATCTTGTTGAATGTAATGTGCCTAAGTCTAGGGTGACTTCGTAGGAACACTTGGTGGGACTAGTATTATGGGATGCTACTTGCACATTGCACTAGTGTGACATGGGCTTATCTTAGTTGGTGGTCCTTATGTGAAGTATGTGTTTTATGATATTTTTATGTCTCTACGAATTTATATGCTTAAAATGATTAAGGTTGTACACATTTTCACCTTGATGACTTTAAGGTGATACCTTGGTGTGAATGGTGGAATATGACATTATTCATGCATTGCACTATGTATTATCTAAGGGTTTCTTTGTTAAAATAACTAATGTAAAAGAAAGGCAATACTATGAAGATGTTTGATATGCCTTAAATGTTAAATATGGATTTATTTATTGTTGAGAATAGTGTCATTGTCTAAGATAATATATGTAACTATGTTGTACATATTGTATAAAATATTTTTGACATTTTAGTAAATGACATGATGCATGATTTCTAACTAAAATTTCCTCTTTAAATCTTGTTTTTGCATGGTTGTCATGCTTAATGCGTTCTTATACTAATATTATTCTTCTTCATCTTTTTACACAAAGTGTAAGTGGTGATGGCTAGAGGATATTTCTTAGAATGAAGACGTTGGATAGCTATTCCCAAGTTCAAGTGCCCTTATGATTCAAGGACCTTCATGTCAAAGAAGTTATTTATGTTCATGCAGTAGTAGCGATTAAACTTCATGTTGTTAAGGGTCTTGTACCTATTATATTCTATTGATGTTGAGTCTAAGATGGAAAAATGAGACTTAGTGTCTAAACTATGTATTTATGATGTTATATATGAAGTGATATTCTAGTATGCTATAAAAAAATTTAAATTTTTAATGCGATGAAAAATGTCTATGGGCTTGTCGAAGACTTTCGAGAGGTTGACGATGCTGGTTACTACTAGGGGGTGCTCCTCGATCGTGACACAAATAATGGTAAAGCATGTCGATTATGATTCATAAGTCCGAACTGTTAGATAGTCAAGTGAAGGGTCTAAAAAACCATGGAAAGAGTTAAAGGAGAATGTACTTAATAGATTCAGAGGCGTTGAAAATACTAATGGACAAATTACTTCTTTTGAATTTGATTTTGTAACATTTCTCCTTAAAAATGAATCCATATAGTCGAAAAAGATATTTTGTGTCGACTCATCCTATTTGGAAAGAGGTTGTCAATAGTAGGATAGGTTCAATCTTGAGCAACAGCACTTGAGAGCTGATTGATCTTTCTCAAAGAAATAAATATTTGGGTTCAAAGTAGATCTACAAAAGGAAAATAAATTTGATAAAACTATTGAAAGATACAAAGCATGACTTGTTTTCCTAGGCTTTAGAAAATAATAAAGCCTTGTTTGACACATAATATCCACTAACTTTTACATGGAACAACCCGAGGTTTTTGTGGTTCTTGGTAAAGAAAAAAAAGTCTGTAAACTTGTTAAGTCACTTTATTGACTAAAAACAAACGCCAAAATAATGACATGCTAAGTTTGACTAAACTACGTTGGCAAATGAATTCATGATCAATGAATGTGATTAATGTTTTTACGTTAAAGACACTCCAATTAATAAGGTCATTGTTTGTTTTTATGTTGGAAACATTTCTGACATAAATTCTACTAAGAATATGCTAGAAAGGAACTTTGATATGAAAGACATTAAAATTACTTATTATGAAGTGTGCACGATCAGATATAGCATGTGCTATATTAAATTGAGTCGGTGCTTAATTAATCTCAATCAAACTCATTGGATGAAAACGAAAATAGTTTTGGTGTATTTAAACAAACTTAAAAACTATTGTTTTGCATTATAACTAATATTCAGCAGTATTGAAAGAATATAATGGTGCAAATTGATTCACCAGGTCAAATGAAGTAAAATTCACGAGTGAATATATATCTACTCTTTCTGGAGGATCAATCTCTTGGAGATCTTCTGAATGGAAATGTATTCGCTCGCTCTATTATGAAATCTGAGATTATCACTCTAGATAAGACCGATGAATAAGCTAAATGATTTCTAAATTTCTTGAAATATTTTTGGCGTAAAGCTTTAGCTCCACTATACATACGCTGTGAAAGTTAATTTCCAATAGTTAGGGCATGGATCATGGTGCACAAAAGAAATTCTCGTCATGTAGGAGATAGATATGATATCATTAAAGAAATACTCTCTAGTGGAATTATCATGATTTACAATGTAAAATTAAAAGGATAATGTGTCGGATCCACTTACAAAAGGCTTAACTAGTCACAAAGTTGATATATTATCAAAGGGAATGTTACTATGGCCGAGAACAAGTCATTGTGGTGGTAACTCTACCTAGAATACTTGAGATCCCAAGATCCAGGTTCAAAAAAATCAAATAAAGTCATTGATGACAATTCAATATTGTCAAAATATTTTATTATTGTCCATTCTCATGATAATACAATATTCTGTAGAAAGGATAAATGCATTATGAATTAATAATGATTTCTACGTTTTATACAGGGTATATCAAATAGTATATCTACGGGATAACACATTTAGAAATGAATTATATAAGTGTGAAGTGTAAGCCATTTCAAGGAGAATCTGATAACCAGTTTTCTATGCACTTATAAAGCAAGACGTGTTCATGGAACAAACAAAACAATGAGAACCAAAAATAGTTCAAGGGTTGATCGTGCGACTTATGTTGTCTAGGTACACATCAAAGCTCGACAGTTTAAACATATTAAATCTAGCGATTGACCGAGTATATCCGATATATGTTCACTATGGAAAGTTCAAAGGAAAACTCACTTATCCAGATGAAATCAATCCTTACTTACGAATCAAACAATTTTCAAGCATATGTTATAACAATAGTCATTCCATATTCATGTGAAGTTTGAGGTACCTCTAATTTTTTAATGGTTATTCCATTTTGTCTTTGGAGGAATTAATCTGCAACCTCGGGTACATAAAGGGATTAAACTTTTTAAGGACACACAGTGAATTTTATGGACTCGAATAGTTCTTTGTATTTTTATATTGATCTTTTATTATTTTTGATTTGCTAATCTGAATACAGAAGACAACATGTACTTTGTATATTTAATTTTTAATATCGCGTAGAAAAAAAACATGGTTACTAGTAAGACATAAAATTTAAACTCATTTATAATAATCTCAATGTTTTAACCTAAGCATATCACTATTTTATTTATATTAATTTTCGTATGACTATATTTTTTTTTAAAAAAATAGTAGGGTAAAAAATCAAATATTAGAAATATAGGGGACTATTTGTACACACATTTAAAAAATTTATATTTAGGAAACTTAGTTCAATAACTTAGTGAAACCCTTATATGATAAAACCCTAATCACAAACCTTCTTCCCTCTTACAAAAGTTATTTAGTAGGGCAATAGAAAAATAAATTTTCTAACTTATGAATTCCCCAATTTCTTCTGTTGATGTTAACGTCCCTCAAATTATGTCAAATGATGGAGAAGACATCGGTAACTATGTCTTCATTTGTTTCTTTTAATCTGAGAAAGATTTAAATCATATGCCTTAATTATATAAATTTTTAAAATTTTATTGTAGTTAGTGATTATTGGGTTTTCTTGATGATTATCAGGTGTAGTTCGTATGCCACACTTAATTCGTGTGAATGCTGGGGAGGTAAAATATATTTTACGTATTTATCTTTATCCTAATGCATTAATAGAATGATTTAAAAATATTTGATTAACCTGTAAGGTATTCTGTTACTTTTCAACAAACATGAGTTTTGAATTTTATATGAGAGGAAAAGGAAAAAAGTTAATTTAATTCTACATTTATATTTTTGTTAGCTTCCTTGTTATATTTTTTAGGTTGATACATCAATGATTAATTGATGTAAAAATATTCAAGGATGAGAAAAAAAGAACAAAACTAAATAAATAAACCAACTCTCTAATGATAAAATAAACTTTTACTTTTGATTAGGTACTTTTTGGTGTTTCGTGAGCTAAATAAGACATTGTCCTCAATTCATGTGACAGATTAGAGTTTTACTTGTGTGTTCCGTCCTATCATCACTAATTTTTTTTGATTTACGTAGGCTATATCCCGACCATTCTATCATAATGTCTAATTCTAGTACATTTATTCTTGTTCTTTCTCGGCCTCAAAACTTACATTGTTATTCATCTCAAACATTTTAACGAATTAGTTGGAGGATTTTAAGTAACTGACGAAGGTAAATAACTTGTGTAGATTGATGAAGAAAAATCAATGAATAATGAGAGAATTATTCTGGTCTCATACTCCATTTCTTAAAATATAAAAGTATAATATATTTTAAAATAATATTTATATCATACCCATTATAGAACTTCTTTTTTAAAATAGTTCTTGAATTGAAGTTTTTATAGTAGGATTTTTTTGTTTGACTTTACTAAATGATATAGACCTATTATCTATTATATAGGACATTGTATTCAAGATAATGGATTTCGCACAACAAGAAGAAATGATTATGTCTATTCTATCCGTAAGTGGAGAAGTATCCAGTGTCACCCTCCAGTCTGCAATGGGTGGTGACCTTGTGACATATGAGGTATATATAAGTTTTAGCTTAAACACACTTACCTTTTATCTTCCTTTATGTTGAGGAATGTATATTTTTTTGTTTTCATTCTAGATTTGTTGGTTATAAGTCCCAGAAATTTGACTTTTTGGTCTTTATTTAGCTGTACATTGACATATTAATTATTTTTGACTTAAGAGATAAAGACCAGTATAACATATCCATTAAGATGTACTCCATCTACCCTATTTGTGTCTATTACCTTTTAAAGATTCTATTGAAATTATGACCTCCCTTATTCTTCTTAGGAAAAAGTACAAACTATTTGTTCCTTCATTAATTTTTAGTTCAATGCAAGCAAGTTTGTAAATCAACAACCCGTCAATTTTCAACTTGAAACTTTTGTTAACTCAAAAATTCAAACTGCAAAATTATTACAAATCTATGTTACCTAAGGAATTATAAACTCTGGTTCCAAAAATCAAGAAAAAACACCCCAATGTTTACATGTTGCCCCAAAACTTTTTAACTAACCTACACTAAGAAACTTATGGTAAATAAAAACTTAGACTAACTAAAAAAACTCATCCGAATGATTCTACACAAACCTCAAATCTTCAATTAGAGGAAAGATCCTTCTTTGGTCATAAAGGCCTTTTAGGTTTGCAGAGTTTGTGGAATTTTCAACCTCTAGTGCATCCTGAGAACAACAAAGATCAGCCTTCACACGTGCATTGTCATCCTCCAAGTCGGCATGTTCAAGACCATAATATACATACATCTGATCCAATGAGGCCAAAATGAGATGCCTGTAAGCCAGCAACCTCAACATCCTTTGCAGCCCACGATGCCCTCAACTTTAAAGAGGCCCATTAGTCCCTATCCTAGGAGTAGGTACCACAACCTGATTCAACACACCTAAAATATCCTTCATAGTTTGATACTGCAACACTTTGATTAGAACCCCAAAGTGGTAAAAATTCACTCCTAACCTACCCAGAAATGACGTGTTTTGTCCTAGACACAAATTTGATGCATATGACATAATATAAGACTACTAAGATTTATGGGAGCTTGGCAGAGTAGTAACTCCATTAGTGTGAGGTCAAAATTAGCCTCGGTGCGTTTTGATGGAGAGAGAAGATAATCTTATGAACAACATCAAATAGTAGCTTATGTAGTGGTATGATAGCTCATTTCTTCACTTTGGTGTGCAATTCAAAGGTGGGATCGTTCGCAAATCAGTAAGATACATTTAGGTAATTCATCAAATGGAGGCCAATCGTTTTTCACGTAATGACACTAACCACTATTAGTAACCCTAAAATTTGAGCCAACCATTTAGGAGCTCTATAAAAGAATCACATCGGGTTATGTTGGTAATAAAAGTAGATGACAAGTCGCATTGGTGTAGAACTGGAAAGTTTCCACCCTTCCCATATTGTGGTGCACATTACCTTGAAGGAACAGAAGTGTACGCATCTCAAGACCCCCAAATCCAATAATCACCCTACCATAGAGAACACTATGTTCTCTAAAAATCATTGTCCTTGAAGTTTTGGCATCTAGGGTATGTTCTATATCAACACCTAACTCAGTAACCTACATTTATCCTTGAGATTCGGCCTCAGAAGTATAAGAATCCCCAAGATACTCAGAGGAAGGAATGACACTCTCATTACTATCCGTGTTAGTGGACTCATTGACTAGATCTTTGTGGGTAGAATTTTTGGAAGGATTGGGTTGAGGAACTTGTTTTTTGGTCAGACTAGATGATTCATGACCATTGACCTTAGATCATGCAATATCATCAACATCATCAGTGATTTCGGTAGGGTTTGAAGGAGGAACAAACAAGTCCGTCTTTGAAGATCTAGAATTTTTGGTGGAAAGGTAAGGATACCTTTATCAAGATCTAGTTTGACCAAGGATGTGGACAGGGACAACCGTAGATGTCATAGTAGAGAGGGTTTCCTAAGGCTTGTCTGAACATAACACCAGAAATACTGTAGAATCCTTTCATAGTAGTGTCCTTAAACGTGTAGGTTATAATTTTCAATGTGCATGATGTCTTCAATATTTATACTAGAACACCCAGGTTTTGCTGATTCAAATTATAGTTCCCCATTATGAGATACACCAATGTTGATCGTAACGAGTAACTAGGTTAAGGGTAAGGTCCTCGGTGTGTTCCTTCTTACTAGGTGCACCCTGCAAAACTCCCTCACTTTCATGTGAAACCCTAGATTCCTACTAAGAAAGTGCTGTATCATTTAGAAGGACATCTAAATGGAATATGCCTGTACCATCCACAAACACAATTTTGGTAAAATAGAAGTGTATACATGTTCCTTGAATAGTACATTGACCAATCTTGTGGGGTGGGAGGGTGTGGATTCTATGTTTAATGGAGGGTAGATGATGATGGAGTTTTCATGGTAAAGTAGGAAAAAGTGTGATGGTTAATCCCGTGAATGTTCATAGTTTTACTTGGAATGATTTCTAGTGTGCCATAATGATGTCATATTTTTGATAATGAGTTCATTATTGAAGTATGTTGTTACAAGTTTCTTATGACATGTTGAAGGATAATGTTATTGCTTATAGTTTTGAAATCATGAAATTTTCAATAAGAATGGTGTACATACCTATATTTTAAGATCTGATGGACCCTGTGTTTCTATATTAAAGTGCACGTTAATCTGTGATATCGAAAGAATACTTAGCTATAGTTTCATAAATGTTTTAAAATTGGTGTAGGGATAATCATCCCTTGTTCCAACCTTTTCCTTTCAAAGTGTTCTTTTGCTGATGCCTTGGTGAAGATATCTGCGGTTAGTTTTTCAGTAATGCAAATATTCGTAGAGACCAGTCCTTTTTCTATGTCATCAGTGATGTATGATGTCAATGTGTTTTGTATTTTTTTGAGCAGGGTTTTTTGCCATGTTTATTCCATTAATACTGTCACAAAAAAAATTGGAGCACATTTACTCTTTAACCCATAATTTTGAGTTGTTGTTTGATTCATAAATATTGAGAACAACATTATGCAACAACTACATATTCAGCTTTGGTAGTGGATAAGTGTACAAAATTTTATTTCTATTTTTCTCAAGAGATCAGACATGATCCTAATAACTGAGTTCCTATCCACTAAGTAACCAATATAGTGTGCATCAACATATCCTACTAGTTAAAAATTGTGTGCTTTCGAATACTAGAGTCCCAAGTGTCTAGTCCCTTTTAGATAACAATGAATTAGTTTAACATATTATTGATGAGGTTCCTAAGGATTGTCTTGAAATCAAGCACATAATCACACACTAAACACAATATAATGCCCGCTAGTTGTAAGATGCATAAGTGACCCAAACATTCTTCTATATAGCTTTTGATCTATGATTGAACATGTCCCTTCTTTATCTAACTTAGTAAAAAGGGCAATTGCAGTATTCATCATTTGTGCATCCTTCACTTTTAACCTTTTGAGAAGTTCCTGACATACTTATATTGATAGATTAATGTACCCAAGGTGTTTACTTGATCTTAAGTCCTAAAAAAATAGTTCAGTTCTCCAATCATACTCATTTCAATCTCATTGCTCATTATGCTGGAAAATTCATCCGTGAATCCTTTATTTGTATCTCTAAAGATTATGTCGTGCACGTATACATATACAATTAGGAATTACTTTCCTTTATTCCTAAGAAAGAGAGTGTTGTCAACTTCTACCTCTTGCGTGCCCATGACTTAATAAAATTTTTATAATATGTCACAATATGAACTGGGTGCATGTTTTAACCCACAGAGAGTTGTGTCAAGCTTATAGATATGGTTTGGATAGTCATTATTTTCAAAGGTGGGGGGTTGTTTGACGAATACATTTTGTTTTAGTAGACCACTCAAAAATTCACTTTTTACAGTCATTCGATACAATTTGAATTCCATGTGAAAACAAATACTCTAAGTAGTCTTATTGCCTCTATTCTTGCAACCGGAGAAACGATTTCATCATAATCTCTACCTATTTCTTGATTGTAACCTTGAATCACCAACCTTGGTTTGTTTCATGTTATAGTTCGATGTTCATCCAACTTGTTCCTGAACACCTATATTGTTCCGATGATTGTACTGTTTCGTGGTCTTGGCACTAGGTTACTCACTTTACTAGTCTTAAATTAGTTTACTTTCTCCTCCGTGGCTATGATACAATCTTCATATTGCATGGCTTTACTAATTTTGTTTGGTTCCACCCTAGAAAGGAATGCATTGAATGCACAATGATTCTTTCGTCCTAATCTGGTCAATATTTCTGATCTCAGATCTGTGAGTATGTTATATATTGGATATGACCCCAGGTACTTGTAGTATTTTAGTACAATCCGATGTTGGTTCTGAGCAAAAACATCTAATTAGCTCCCGTTGATTTTCCTCAAGTGTTCTTTTAAAAGTTATTATCGCTGTCTTCATGAGAGAGAATAGTGCTTACATCATTTGAAAGAGAGGTAAATGGTTTTTCTACCTATTCATGTACAGTCTCAACATATAATATTGATGGTTCATCATCATCCTACAACCTTTGGTCTAACATAACATTGATTTCAGAAAGTACTACATGCACACTCTCTTCTACACATAGTAAACTTTTGTTTAGTACCCTATTAGATTTTCTATGTGAAGTGTATCTTAGAAAAATTTCCTCATAACTTCTCGCATCAAATTTTCCTCACACATTGTTTCTATTATTATGAATAATGCATTTACACCCGAAGGTTCTTAGATGAGATATGTTAGGTTTTCTACCTTTTAGTAAGTCATCGAAAGTTTATCCGACGTGGATCTAGATATGCATGTGCTTATTGTTTAGCAAGTAGTATTCATGTCTTAAACTAAGAATTGATTAGTATATTGTTTGCAATCATCACGGTTAACAATTTCTTGAATGGTTCTGACATTTTTTTTCTACTACTCTATTTTGTTGAGGAGGCCTCGAAGAGGAAAAGTTATGGTCAACCCATGAGATTCACAAT